TCCCTCTGTACAGGTCCTTCCTGTCAGCCATGGACACGTTAGCATCTCCCCCAGTCAACCAACTTGCACTCAGTTCATATCTGCTCCATCACTGCTCTCTACCCGACCCCCATGCTCCAGAGCCAAACTTCTCTAACAGTCTTTCGTTTACTCTTCAATGCAATCCAAATTGGCTTCTTCCCCCACTGCAAAACTCAACCCCCTCTTGGTATGTTGCCTATCCCGTGATCATTTCTCTGCCCTCCTGTAACCTATGTGTTGTTCTCTTGGGTGTATGCACGGTAGCCCTCCTTGAAATGTTCTTTCCCATGGCTCCTGTGGTACCATGTCCTCCTGGTTTTGTTACTGACTCTGCGTAACTGCTTTCCTGTCTCTCACATAGACTCCATTTTCTTTTTTATCTTTTTTTTTTAATGTTTATTTAGTTGTAGTTGGACACAATACCCTTATTTTTATTTTATTTATTTTTATGTGGTGCTGAGGATTGAACCTAGGGCCTCGCCCATGCTAGGTGAGCGCTCTATTGCTGAGCCACAACCCCAGCCCCATAGACTCCTTTTCTGTACAGCTTTGCATTAAGGAATTTCTTCAGGTACATCCTGGGCTCTCTGTTTGCTATGGTCTGAGTACTTGTGCAACCTCAAATTCATGTGTTGGAAACTAATCACCAAGGAGATGGTATTAAGAAATGGGGACTTGAAGGAAGAGATTATGTCCTGAAGGCAGAGCCCTCATCAATGGGATTAGTGTCTTTACAAAAGAAGCCCCAGAGAACTTCCTTACTCCTTCTACCAGGTTAGGACAGAGTGGGAGGGCACCATCTATGAGGAATGGACACTCACCAGACACTGAATCTGCTGGTGCTTTGATCTTAGACTTCCTAGCTTTTTGAATGGAAAGAAATAACTGCTTGTTTATAAGCAACCAAGGCTATGGTGTTTTGTTATAGCAGCACTAATGGACTAAGGCATTCTTTTCTCCTTCTATACCTCTCCTTGAAAGATCTCATCTACCTCTGTGGCTTTAATTACTGTATATATGTGGATAACTCCTGAAATTTACATTTCCAATCTAGTCCATTTCTAACTCTGCCATTATGTATCTGGCTGCCTACCTCACCTCTCTAATTCCATATAAACAGGCATCTAGAAGTCAACTTATCCAAAGATAGGTTCCTGATCTGCATCTCCCACTTCTAGTTCTCTTCACAATTATTTCCGGCCATAGTAGATGGGAGCACCATTTATCTAGTTGCTCAAGTCAGAAACTTGGCTCCATTTTCCTTCCCTGAACATCCCACATGGTCACAGTCGTTTTCCTATTAGTTGACATTATAAGATAAAGTTAAGAATCTTCAAAAGTCCCTGCCTGCCTTGAAGGCTGACCTCCCCAAGATGAGACTCCCCTTTACATCTGTCCTCACCATTCTGACTCCTGTGTCTTCCTGTGGGCTCAGCTCCTTCCAGCCCCAGGCTCTCATTCTTGCCTCTCTCCTGACATTCTTCCATGACTAACTCATCCTTCAGTTTGGGGCTCAACTGTCTATGTGTTCTGTTACCCCCTGAACTTCTTTGTGGTACTCATTCCCACCATAATTAGACAATTATTTGTGTTAATTTTTTATTCAGTGTCTGTCCCTCTGCTTGACATGGGTTCCATTGGGCAGGGATGAGGTCTCTTTGTTTCCTGCTGTGTCCCAGTTACCACCCCTAGTCCCAGCAAGGAAAAGAAAAGATAATTGTTTCCCTGCTTTGATAAAATTCTGGGACACGAGGGCACTCTGCATTTCTTTCTAGCATCTTCCCTGTTTGTCCTCAGCGTGATCCATAATGTCTAAGTCAAATGTTTCTTATTGTACTCCCTTTGCTCAGAAGATAGAGAGGAAGGACTTTTTAGCCTTCTTTTTCTCTTTAGCCTTCACTCTGAAAGCTTGTGACTGGTCTTTTCATATTTTGTTGTCCTTTCTGAACCTTCTTCATACTGTGAGAATACAGAAGTTTATTTCTGATTTGGGGTCATGACCTCACACTTATTGAAATTTGTGGTGTTAAGGCACATTGCCAAGAGACTTGGCTGCATTTAGGACATTTTAAAATATACTATTTTCTGATGATAAGAGTGATATTATTCTTAAGAAAAACCTCTGGAATACAATAAGGTTCAATAAGAAAAGAAATAGTAGACATTTCCCTAAGACTTTTTAGTCCCTAAATAGGGTCCTGTTATATGTATGATTTTTGCCTTGCTTTTTTTTTTTTTTTTTTGACTTAACCTCACATTGACATTTTGATAAAAGCCTTAAAAATGAGACAAAATCCTAAGGGGGCCCAGGTTTGGATCAAATGCAAGTCAGCCTAGTCAGTAGCTTCTAGCAGGACCTGCTTTCTCTTTAGAGGAAGAACAGTAACGGACTGCCCTGGCCCCCTTATTCTGTACTGCCTTCGCCCTGCCTGTGGGCATCTGCCCTGCCCTTATCTGGCGTGGGCCTCGTGATGACTAATAGCCTGACCTTCTGCTCTTTGTTGATGCCCCCCACGTACTTTATCTCCAGGACATTGCTCTCTGTTCTCTTGACCTCAGCAATATCCATAATGTCTAAGTCAAATATTTCTTATTGCACTCCCTTTGCTCAGAAGACATAGAGGAAGGACTTTAAGTGAGCTCCTTAAGCTAAAGTTTCTACATTTAACTGCATTGGATGTTCATGGAACCTCTTGTAACAGACCAATTGTACATGCATTTGTTGATATGTGTTGGTGTCAGTTTTTCTTTTACCTTTTAAATTGTAAGGCAAGAGACCTTTTTATTTTGTCTTCTACAGTGCCTAGCATGGACTCTGAGAATTTGGGACCTGATCAATACGGTTACTCTTTTTTAAATTTTTATTTTTTGGTTCTAGGGATTGAACCCAGGGTGCTTAATCACTGAGTCACATCTCCGTCCCTTTTTATTTTTTTATTTTGAGGCAGGGCCTCACTTAGTTGCTTAGGCCCTCATTAAGTTGCTGAGGCTTGCCTTGAACTCTTGTGATCCTCCCTCCTCAGCCTCCAGGGTTGCTGGGATTAGAGGTGTGTGCCACTGCTCTGAGCTTAATAGGGTTACTTAAAATAACAAACAAACAAAAAAACCTCAAAAAAATGTTCTGCCTAAAATGTTCTAGAATCCAAGTAAAATGGCCTTATACTTCATAATTTTGGCACTCGTTCAGCAAACATTTATTTGACACCTCTTCTGGACCAGCAACTGTTCCTAGGCACTGGGTGTACATTTGTGAAGATAAAATATATATAGTTCCTACTGTGGTCTTCTAGACACTAAGCAAATAGTTACATAAATACAAACATGATTTTAACTTGTGATATGTTAATGAAGGAAAATGGCAGGGGGTCCTGAGAGAATGCAGTGGGGGGAGACTGCCATTGGAGCGTGCTGGGTGTCAGAGAAGCTGATTCAGGAAGCATGGAAACATACCTGAAGAAGAGCAGTCAGCCCCAGGGGAGACAGCTCTTTGGGAGAGAGGTCTGAAGATGAGTTATTTGAAGTAGGGTTTGGAAAAAGGGAGCAGGGGAAAATGGATATTTCCATTTTCTCATTTTAGTCAGAGTAGAATTGGGGGTCTCTTCATGTCATGAGCCTTTATTAATTCTTTCAAACCAATTTTCAAAGGATGCGTTTAGCCCTCCTGCAAAGGAGTCTTTTGGTTTGCTTTCTGAGCAGTTCTTTCTGACTAGCCCTTTTAATTGATGCTTTTGCTCATGTTCCTATGAGACCACTGGGAGAGGTAGAGCAAGACAGGCTTCTGACACCCACCTGTTTGATGAAAAGGATGAACTAGGCTTCTTGGTTGCAGATGTGGTACTGGAATCTGGGTGCCCTAAGAGAACTTGACTGACCTCGGACTGCTCCACTGAGGGGAAAGAGACCCTGAGGGAAGGGTTTAGAAGGACCCTTGGCCACTAACTCCTTCTGGGCTACCAACTCTCCTCCCCAGGAATGGAAATCTCCCATTTGATAAGCAGTTCCATGATGAGGAAAGAAAACAAGCCACTGAAATTTCCTGTGAGCCATTAAGAATTGTTTTAGGAGAACATTTTTGTCCCAGTGTGTGTGTGTAAGAATGCATTCCTTCACTCAACAAACACTGAGAGCCTTCCCTGTGCCTGGCACTGTCCAGATGCTGGGGACACAGCAGTGTATGTGAGGAGGACACAGACTGAACAAATCAAAAGTGACATGGAGGATATCAGAGGGATTATAACTGCTACAGGGAAAATTAAAGGAGGAAAAGTGGTGGGAGGGGAGGTTCACTTGGGAGGTGGAGACAGTGGTCAGGAAAGGGCTTACCGAGTGATGTTTGAGCAAAGACTTGACAATGGAGCCAGGTGGATATTTGGGGGAACAGCATGTGCTAAGGCCCTGCAGGACCTATTCAGGCTAAGGCCTGGGACGTTTGAGGAACAGCACGAGTTCTGGAGGGTGTAGGTAGAGGACAGAGGTAAAGAGGAAGGTGGAAGTCCACATGTGAGGCCTTATGGCCACAGTGGGTACTTTGATTTTCCCTCTGATTAAAGGGGAAGACATTGGAGACTCTGAGCAGAGTACTTAGAGTTGACTGTAGGGGGAGGGTGGGAGTAGACCATAGAGGAGACGCTGGTGACAGGGACTCAGGTGGAGGTGGGAAGAGATGGGGATGAATTTTGAAGGTAGAGCTGAGGCCCTGGATGTAGGGTAAGTGAGAAAGAGAAGAACTAGAGAAGAATAGGATTGGGGCAGGGGAAAGATTAGGCGTTTGGGAGGGAAGAGGGCCTTTGTGAGCCTTGTGTATATACATGGTGTTTACATCCAGGAGATGATTGAGTGACGTCTATGTTGGGTAGGACTCCAGTGCCAACGGCTTGGGTGAAATGAGAGAAGCCAGTGAAGGAGACAGAGGAGAGGGGGCTGCCAGGTAGGAAGAAACCAGGACTGACGGTGGGTTGCTCTGTGTCTCTCCCCTGTAGGTGTGACAATGTACGTGTGTTTAAGCTGGGCCTCTTCTCGGGCCTGTGGTGGACCCTCGCCCTCTTCTGCTGGATCAGTGACCGGGCCTTCTGTGAGCTGTTATCATCCTTCCACTTCCCCTATCTGCACTGCGTGTGGTAAGCCCCTCCTGATGGGGAGTTGGCTGAGACAGGTGTCTGTACTTGCTGTTGGGCTCGGTGCGAGGAGCACCAGGTGGGCGCAGAGCCCAGCTGCCTCTCTCCTCATATAACATTGCCAGACATTTCAGAAGCATCAGAAAGTATTGCAAAAAGTGAAATTGGCTCCAGGGAGCAAGGTTTAGGCAGAACAAAAAGACCGAATTGTTAGGCTGCAAGGCTGCATTCTCTCACCTTTAGCTCCATTAATAGCACACAAAGGAGCCTGAAAACTGAATCTGCAACCTGAGCTCTGGCTAGATGGGGGCGGGGTGAGAGAGCTTGGGAGAGAGGGGATGTGAATGAAGCCTGGGTTGGTCCTCAGTAGGGACCACACCTTCAGGGCCTGAGTCACCAGGGGAGAGCATGGACATCATAGGGCACCTAGGGACAGTCTCACCTGTTCCTGAACAGGTAGAGTTTGAAGACCAGATAACCAAGTGAATTGTTCAACATCACCCACCGGTTTATATAAAAACAACCTCAGAGTTGAATAATAGCAAATTGGAACATCTGTATTTTGGGATGCTTATCTACTACTACATTAAAGAAGTAAAAAATACAGGTCACAGAACAACTTGCAGAATCCTACACTCCAAGCTAAGGGGAAAGCGGAGTGACTTTCTTCCAAGGAAGTGTTTCTGTCTAAACCCAGGGTAATCTTTCCTTCTCTGCCCTCCAAGATTTCTAACTGTACAAGGAGCAGGAGAAATCCGCTGTCTCCAGTCTCTTGTATATTGAGAGCATTGAGAGGTGAAACCTAGTGCTAAAGATTTGGAGGCTTTGAAGTCAGATCCAGAAGCTTGATCTCTCTTTAGAAGTGGCATAAAGAGACTCAGTTTGAAAGACTTGGCTAAAATTCCCTTGCTCAGATGAATTTGAACTTGTATGTATTTATCATGAGACCCATCCTGTGCTAAGTCTTGGGGGGACTTCCAGATCTGTTTGCAAAAAAAAAAGAACATAGGGGCTTGGGTGTGGCTCAGCGGTAGGGCACTCGCCTCGCACGTGTGAGACCCTGGGTTCGATCCTCAGCACCATGTAAAAATAAATAAGTGAAATAAAGGTATTGTGTCCAACTACAACTAAAAAAAAAAAAAAAAGATCATAAACAGCACAAGTTGGGGTTTTTGGTTTTAGGATTAGTTGCCTGAAATTTCTGAGGTTTAACTTCAACTCATACTAGTGAATTTGTACAGCTAAAAATACAATATATTTGTTGAGTTAGAATTCACAGATAATAAAATGCACAGATTTTAAGTGCATACATTGATTAAATATGCACAGCTTTATAAATTTATGACCTCATTCAAGATTTGTACATTTTTATCAAAGTACAAATTTAGATTATTTGATAACTGTGGCAAAACTTAGTTTGCGTCTGAATTTCTGAATTTGTTATACTTTCTGCTTTGCTTTTCAATTTTTAGCCATCTTTTCTTCCCAGTTAGAAAGTGTTATGTATTTTGTGACAAATTTAAACAACATGGAAGTATAGGAAGTGGCTCTCATAATTCTACCTCCTCAAAGAGATAATTGTTAATGTCTGAAGTGTATCATTTCAGATTTTCTAGTGTATATGTATATATGTATATACATTATATTTCTCTCCTACTTTTTTTATTTTTAAAATCATTTTATTTTAATTGATACATAATAATTTTACACATTTATGAAGTACATGTGACATTTCAGTACATGTATACAAATGTGTAATGATTAGAGCAGAGTAACTGCCATCACCTCAGATATTTATTATTTCTTTGTGTTGGTAACATTCAGAATCCTCTCTACTAGCTATTTTGAAATATTAGTTGTTGTCAACCATAGTTATCCTACAGTACCAAAGAACATTACAAATGTTTCATCCTATGCAACTGTACCCTTGTGCCTATTAATCATTCTGCATTTTTTTTTTTTTTTTGTACTGAGGATTGAACCCAGAGGTGCTTAACCACTGAGCAATCCCCAGCCCTTTTTATATTTTATTTAGAGATAAGTTCTTACTGAGTTGTTTAGGGCCTTGCTAAGTTGCAGGCTTTGAATTTATGATCCTCCTTCCTCAGCCTCCTGGTGTGTTCCACTAAGCTTGGCTCATTCTGCTTTTTAAAAACAAGGATAGAATCATTCTGTAAACAGATAGAAACTTGTCATTTTTTAAAAAGACATTTTCTTTTTCATTGTTTTTGATTACTTTATTTATTTATTATATGGTATTGAGGATTGAACCCAGTGCCTCACACATACCAGACAGACGCTCTACCACTGAGCCATAACCCCAGCCCAAACTTGTCATTTTTTAAAAGTCAAATGGCCTGCTGCACCATGCCTGGCCCAAGCTGTCTCTTAATGGATATTTTGTTTGTAATTTTTCACTTTTGCAATCAATCTATAATAAACATCTATAGTGATTCTAATTCCTGAATATTTCCATAGGTTAAGTTATAGTCTGTATTGACAAATCTAGAAAGATGGTACCAATTAATACTTTTTTACTAAAGTCTATAAAGAATGCCTTTTACTCATCCTTTTGCATATAGAAATTACTGACAAATTTTATTAACAAATTATTAACAATTATTTTATTATTAACAAATTATTAACAAAATATCTATAAAAAGATCTAAAAGATTGAATAAAAATTTTATTTTTTGTTTTCACATCTTTAAAACAACTTGGTATTGTTGGACATCTTTTCAAATGTAAAATTGCTATGTGTATGGGGCTGAGTGGTCTCTCAGTGGTAGGACACTTGCCTACCATGTGTGAGGCACTGGGTTCGATTCTCAGCTCTGCATAAAATAAATAAAATAAAGGTCCATTGACAACTAAAAAAAAAAATTTTTAAAAATGCTATGTGTATTTCCTCTTTTGAGGTGTGCCTTTTCATTTTCTTTGTCTTCGTTGTTTTTATTTTTAAAAATTTATATCCAGCACCCATTGCCTTTTATGTTACTGTCTACACAACTATGTGCCATTTATTATGTAAATTCCCAATATTTTTCAAAAGCCCAAAGAATAGCACATTGAGCCCCATGTAGCCAAACATCTAGATTCCCATAATAAGCAACATGAGGCCAGATCTTGCTCCTAACACCCTCACCCATTCCTCATCCCCACCCCGGATTATTTTCAAGCACATTCCAGACATCTTGTGAAATAACTAACTTTTTTCTAAAAAATGCTTCTATTAGGGCATTGTAGTTGCATGGGATAGTTGGTTTCATTTTGACATAATCACACATGCATGGAATTTAATTCCTCCATTGCAGTCCCTGTGGCCTCCCCTTTCTCTCTCCTCTTCCTCTTCCCATATTTCCCTTCCTCTACTCTCCTGGTCTTCCGTTTACTTATTTACTTATTTTAATTGGTGCTTTACAGATATACATATTCCATAAAGATATACAGAATTCCATAAAGATGGAATTCCCTGTGGTGTTTTATACATGTCCACAGCATAATTTTAACATATTCATTCTCCTTTTCTTCCCCTTTCCTGTTCCTCCTCTCCTTCAGTCTCCTTCTGCTCCACTCGTCTTCCATCTTTATATCGACAGCCTCTACACACTTTTTTTTTTAATCCCTTAGTTTGCTCTAATTTCCACATATGAGAGAAAACATTCAACCCTTGACTTTCTGAGTTGGATTATTTCATTTAGCATGGTGTTTTAGTTAGCTGTTTCACTGCTGTGACCAAAAGACCTGACAAGAACAATTTTAGAGGAAGAAAATTTATTTGGGGTTTATAGACTCAGAGGTTTCAGTCCATAGATAGCCAGCTCCATTGCTCTGGGCCTGAGGTGAGGCCATTATGATGGAAGAGTGTGGCAGAGGAAAGACACTCAGAGGAGAGAGAGAGAGAGAGAGAGAGAGAGAGAGAGAGAGAGAGAGAGAGAGAAAGAATGCACTCTACTGTTCAAAGACAAAATATATATCCCAAAGGCACACACCTACAATGGCCCACCTCCTCCAGCCACACCCTACCTGCTTACAGTTACTCCCGAGTTAATTCCTATCAGGGAATCAATGCACTGATTACAAGGCTCTCATAATCAATCATCTTGCCTCTAAACTTTCTTTCACACTTGAGTTTTTGGTAGATACCTCATATCTAAACCATAATACATGATGTTCTCCAGTTCCATCCATTTACTGGCAAATGCCATAATTTTGAAACAACAAACTTTTTTAGTGTTCTTTGTAATACAGGGATTTTTAAAACTTTTATCATAAGGTGCAGTTATTTCCCTTCCAGCTTTCTGTTTGTCTTTCAGTATGTTAATGGTATATTTGTGTCACACTGCCTTAAATTTTTGTGTTGTCACATCTGTCAGTCTTTTCTTTAGGATTTCTGGAATTTGTGTCATTCAGAAAGGCTTCTCACACCAAAATTTATGAAAACACATACTTAAAAATATATTTTACATATATACTTTAAGTATTTAATTAATCTGGAATTAAGCTTCAGTAAAGGATATAAGGAAGGATTACAAGTCTTCAAATGATCTATTGCTTGCTCAAGATTAATATTGAAACTTTTGTAGGCACACAAATTTAGATTAAAAACAAAAAGGATTCATCCACAAAACTGCAAACACACTTTCATCAACATAAGCTAATTTCTGATGAGGAGCATAGATGATCCATGACCAGTCATTACACTGAGAAGATGGGGTCTAGACTGATTTGTCTCCATCTTGGCAATCTAGTTTAAGTCTGTGGGCCTCAGTCTTGGTAGAGCTCCAAAAACATTTGCAAGTTTGTTCCAATTATCAGGTGGGAATATTTTAGAACATTCTAAGATGGGGCTTAAATTGCTCAAGACTATCATCCTTGCCATTATGAGACTGTTGGTCACCCTCATCCCTTCCTGACTTAATCATGACTATAATTCCCACAGGAAAGATGAGTTCCCTGAGGGAAGGGCAGTCGAGCTGCCTGCAGTGGAGCTTGGCCTGTCAGGTTCTCACCCCTGTCTCCTTTTGCAGGCACATCCTCATCTGCCTTGCTGCCTATCTGGGTTGCGTGTGCTTCGCCTACTTCGATGCCGCCTCAGAGATCCCTGAGCAAGGGCCGGTCATCAAGTTCTGGCCCAGTGAGAAATGGGCCTTCATCGGCGTCCCCTATGTGTCCCTCCTGTGTGCCAGCAAGAAGTCACCAGTCAAGATCACGTGATGTCAAGGCAGTGGCTGGCTTCTCTGCTTGTTTTCCTTCACACACTGGGCTTCGTTTGCTAGCGAGGGCAGCCAAGGGGGTTCTAAGAATTGGTGTAGGGTGTATCTTTTAAAAATTCTGTTCCCTTGGGCTCTAACTAGTGTGTGTCTGGACTGCTAGGGTCCCACTGTGCCCCGGGAGAAGACGGAAAGCAGAGGGCATAGGGACACTAGGTGAACTTTCTCAGCGTCACTTCCAGATGCACTGGTGTGTTGGGCTTCATTCTTCATGGTGGTGGCAGAGCAGTCCCTTGGGGGATCCAGGGCTACCCAGTGCTTCTTTCTGGAGAAAGCTGGCCTGCTCCAGACGCCACCCTCCCAGGCACTCTTGGAGTGGACTCTTGACAGACGGACTCTCCGACTCTCTAATGAAAGGTGCCAGAGATGTTCATTTGGGGAAACTGTCTTTCAACCAAACCAAACAAAACACACACAGGGCTGTGGCTCCAGAGGCTAGTTTTTCACTTACACCTCTCAACTAACCCTGGTTGCACATGTACTGTGAGTCCTTTTACTACTACCTCTGCTGAGAGATGGAGACTTAACTTCAGAGAGGGTGAAGCTAATGACTAACTCTCTATGCCAAAAACTGCACTCCACTTTAAGCTGTTCTTGAAGATGAGCACAACTTATAAATGTTGACATCGTTTCTGCCCGCCTCCTCCAGCCCAGTGGCTTCAAATACACAGAGAAGAATAGCTATGGTGTTAAGATTCCATACACAGCCCACCCTCCCTACCGTTTGATTACCAAAAGGGCTCCATGAAGTTTTTTCAAACTTTCTCATTTAAAGTCTCCAGTATACTATACTGTTTTGGAAACTACCTTTAAAGGTCTCACCTCTGACTTTCTCGGATAAATCCTGTGGGAATTATGCTCCACACTCTCACAGTACATGGTGCTTCCTGTGGTTTTATCAGAGCATTGGCTCACTTTTCTCAGATATTGGCAATAATCACACACTGATTGGCTGGTGCAGGGGGGCAAATCTTGCCTTCTGGGTTTTTCTTACCTGGCTGCAATGAGTCACTGTGCTCCAATGACACCAGGACTGTCTTCAGGGCAGCAGATGGGCATTACCAACCTCAGGGACTCTCATTTTAACTCAGGCATCCTCTGCTTTGTAACATTCCTGGTTGGGAGAAGGCAGGACAGATAGGCTATTCTGTCCTTTTCCTATGGGTAGGAGTCATGTCACTGTGTTGAAGGTCTAAGTTTTGGGAGCAGCAGTGTTTGGCATGTCTAGGAACTCTTCCTCTAGTTAAGAGTTTGCATAGGATTCAAAGTGAAAGGCCAATATGTAACTGAGTTCAGAGTTTAAAAAGAATAATTGTATTCCACTTGGGTGGTTTTCAAATTTTACATGTAACTCACTGGATTATTTCCTGTTTCTTCCTGTAATAAGAAATATTTATGAAACGCAATGCATGAAATAAATTCTATTTTATGAACTTAAATATTAAGTTTAAATTGATAGCATTTACCTAATAACATATCCAGGCAGTGAAAATACAAATTAACAAATTGGTGCTTTCCAAGGCAGAAAAATCTTGTATTGAATGAATGTACATTTTATTTTATTATAATTTTAAAATATATTTTAAATCATTTTAAATTGAATATCTGCAGAACCCCTAATGTGATTCTCTAAATCCTGCTGATTGGTAGACTAGAACTGCTGTGAAGTCCTTTGGGTTTCAAGTCTAGAATTTTAAAAAGAGAAATATCAGACCATTCTCATTTCAGGTTGACCTTACCAGGCATGAATTATTGTCTCATCTATTTTACAGGATAAAAATTCTGTTAACTAGAGGGTTTGGCATATTTAAAGCCCAGGTGTCTTAGTATGGAATCCAGGAGCAGGAGAGGCAGATTGTAAGAAATGGTTCTTTTAGTATAAGTTTAATTTGTCCTGAAGGTTCCCTAGTAACAGGAGGATTATCCTAACATTCAAGGAGAGACTATTTATCTTTACCAAAGAAAGGACATATTCCCTAGGGGCTCTGCCTACACTCCCACCTCCAGACCCTGGAAATAGGGATAACATATTACATGGATGGGTATATTTGAATGGGCCTGTGAAAAAGAAAATACATACCCTGACTCACTGAGCTATTTCTATCCCTCTTCTACAAGAAAAATGACTAAGTGAAGATGTCAGGAGTGGTTTTGTTATGAAAAGCAGTATGCCCATCTAGAGATTGTTTCCAAAGAAATGAGAACTAAGGGGGGGGGAGTAGAATGGAGTATATTTGAGAGGACAAAACATAACTCTACTTTTGAACAGAAATCACTACAGCTTGCCAGCATGGGATGATAAAGCAAGAGAGTAGAAATATCCTCATTTATATTTCAGTTGAGTTTAGGACATCATTTGTATTTATAACAAAGCACTACATGCTTTTTAAGGAAAATTGGGCAACTACAGAAAAATTGTAGAAGAAGAAAATAACCCATATCTTTATTGCCCAACCAAAACCATTGTTAATATTTTGATATTTGAATAGATTTCCTTATTTTCTTTCTGTCTGCTTTTCCCTGGTGTAGTTGTAAATAGATATCGTTTAGCATTGACGGTTTATCCTGTAGCTTAAATGGAATGTGAGTGTCCATCGTGTATTTTTCATGAAGAGCAGGTGTGGAATACACCAGTTAGCTAAGCACTGGAATGCCTGTCACTGGGTTCTAAGACTTTCCACTGGATCTTCTGTTTTAATCAAACCTGACATGAATGGGCCTAAGAGATGATGAACTGAATTATGTTTTTTTGATGTACTTCCCCCACCTGAATCCATCGATGTGTCATAGAAAACAGCTGTTAACTATGGAACTTCATAGATTTTGATGTGTTCAGATATTTTTAAAAATGAATAGCTTATTTCATTAATTGTTGTACAATCAAGAGTCTCCATCCCTCCCTCAGTCCAATAGACCTCACAGATAGGAGTTAGGTCATGGTGATAGTTACTCAGAATGGCGATCAGGTTTTGTTCTGGTTAGAATTTATCCTAGATCTATATCCGGGAACTGGATTTAGGATAGAAAAACCCATTAATGTTATCAATTGATCATTTTGCCCTGTGATTCTTATTTTATAGTTGTTTGATTGGTCATTGATTATTAGAAAAAGAAATCTTTGCACCCCTCTATGGTTATGTTGTAAAGCAAGCACTTGAATGAACCTATTGAAGTTATGTGGGGATGAGATGTCAGCATGGGCTACATTTTGGGGGAACTCTGTGCCTGTCCAGTGAAGAGTGCCTGAAACATTAATTATGGATCAAAGATTCTCTTTGGCAACAAAGATTCATGGTCATCCCAGCCAGGTTTTGTAGAAATACTGCCACCTCTTCCGTTGATTGGATTTCTCAGGTGTGTGAAAACCTCTCTCTCCAGTTCCTCAGGCTTCCGTGAGCCAGGACCATGTTGGGGGCTCTGGGACTGGGATTTGGAACTTCCTTGGTTCTCTGTCTTTTGGGGCCATGGAACCATCTCTGGGGGACAGGTGAGGGCGAAACTTGTCCGGCCAGGGCCCCTTCCTCAGCTTCTTCTCCTCAGTTGAACTTGAGACCTTTGCTATCCAGGCTAATCCTGGTGCTGTAGTTTCAGCTGGTCAAAGAATCTTCCTGGCAGGTTGGAATTCTTAGTGGATTTTATAGACATTATTCTCCTATAGACTTAAAAATACGGTCCCCCCTTGAAAGGCTTCAGTGTTGTATCTTTTCCTACATGTTAAACCAGATTTAGAGACTATTTTATAACTCCAATATGTAATCAGAGAAAATACAGTATTTTCAGATACATCCCTTGTTTTCTACTTCATAGAGGGTGTGCTGGGAGCGTGGCTTGCCTCCTGGCAGGGGAGCGTTTAATCTCCATTGCTTTGGGAGCGATTTAAGGCTTTTTGAAATGGAGCTTTTGCACTTTAGGCTCTTTTTGTGAACTGTCTCTGATAATGATGTTTAATATTAAAGCTGTAAATGGCATTTTCTGTGAATAAATATGTATATGTTTTTATCTATTTCTAGAGTGGTTTCTGAAGTATCTGAGGTGAAAAGGCATTTCATGGATTATAGAGCAAAGCACATTTGCCCAAGTTCATTTGTTAATGGATTTGGGTATCCTTGTTACTAAACATACTTAAAATACATGTAGTTCATTGTTGGTATCTTCTCAGTGCTGTGAAATCAATACATCTAAATATCCCTAGCATAAAGTACCTATACCTTACATTTATTAGAAGTTCTATAATTATGTCATATGAATATAAAATCTCAAGCATAGGTAATAATTCATTTGTGAATTTTTTTTGACATTTCAAAACCAACCATTAATGATTTCAGCAGGAGAATCTGAATCCACCTATATATTTTGCTTAATTTCTTGTGACAGTTCTATTTTTTTTTTAAACTAAATGATTCATTGATCATCAGATTTAAAACAATAATGTGACCATCAGAGAAGAATGGGGCAAGCATTACCTGTCATTACAGTGGTGCGCTTTAGACTTTTTTCTGGCTAGGGTGAAAGGACATAAGAGTGGCCCGGGAGCCCTATGACATCTGATGAAATCGGGGTCTTCTCTCTAGGACAACACTCATGGATGATTCCTGGGGGTTCAGATGTATGCTAGCAGCCCACCCAGCTGAAATCTCCCCATGACAAGATTAAGCAAGGAATCAAATCCTTACTGGTGCTGAAATTGGTTTCTCAGTCTTGAGGATTGACTCTCTTTTTGGGGCTGTGGTCAGGGACAGGGGCTGAGGAACCTGAGGGCTCTGTTTGCAGGAACAGTGGGAAAGATCACCCCAGGACACACCTACTCCCTTCCCCTACAGTCTGATCCTGTCTTCTCCTTCCTGTGGGTGTCATCTTGTCCTGGGTCTGGTCGAAGGGAATACACTTTATTCAGCTCCCCTTTCCCAAATTCCCTGAAAGACCAGAGCTGGGACCCTAGTCTCCCTGACTCTTCTCTTTTGAAGATTTTACATTAAAAGACTCTACATGGTTATATACCCAAAGGAAATGGAATCAGTATATCAAAGAAATACCTGCTGCTGTCATATATAACAAATTAGAATTTAAAAAATAAAAAAGAGATACCTGTACTCCGTATCTCCATATTTCTTACAGAACATTCACAATAGCCCAGATATGGAATCAACCAGGGTGTCTGTTGACAGATGAATGGATAAAGAAAACATGGTACATATATACCATGAAATATTATTCAGCCATAAAAGGATCCAAATCCTGTCATTTGATGGAACTAGAGGACATTATGTCAAGTGGAATAGGCCAGGCACAGAAAGACAAACATTGTGTGTTTTCAAATATGAAAGTTAAAAAAGCTGATCTTGTGGAAATAGAGCGGAACAGGGGTTACTAGAGGCTTAGAAGTATGGGGAGGGAGGAAGCTGGATAATGGGTACCAAAATACAGTTGGATAAGAGAAATAAATTCTAGTGTCCCATGGCACAGTAGGGTGACCACAGTTTTCAACAATGTATTATATATTTTATAAGGAAATAGAAGAGAGGAGTTCTCAGGCCCCCAACACAAAGAATTATTAAGTGTTTAAGGAATGGAAATGCTGGCTATCCTGATTTTTATCATTACATGGCATATATATTTATTGAATTATTACATTGTACCCCCAAAATATGTGCAATTATTATGTGACAATTTTTAAAAAGGCTATACATAACATTCAAAGACTTTACATTAAAGGACTGTTCTTTAAAGGACTGTTCTTTAAAGGACCGGAGAGAGGCAGGCCCATGGTGCTGGTAACTTACATCTTAGGAGGCCTCAACAAATCTTCCTCCAAGCCTCTTTGCAGTTTATAGTCTCAGACAATCCTTCAAATGCTATCTTAAGGATTTTGGTTTCTCCTACTATTCTATCTACTTCTGTATTATTGCATTTTTTTTTTCCCAAAATAAAAAGTTCAAAAACACAGTTTGGGTTTTTATTCTCTACAATCTTTGGGCAGGGCTCCGACTCCAGGCCTGTCTTATTTTTATTTATTTATTTTTTTGAAGAGGCTGGCTCTGCCATGTTGCCTCAAATTCAGGCTCAAGTGATGCTCCTGCCTCAGCCTTGGGAATAGGAGAGGCAACAGGCACCTGTGACTGCACCTAGCCTGTGCCTCACTCATGCAGGCCAGCAGCTCTTCTCCCTAGATATTTGTCTTAAGTGGCACTTTTGTCTCTGACAGTTTCCAGGCTGATGACACCCGGTTTACCTAGGAAGTCTTCTCTCTGCTATCAACTCACAAAAAAGGAAAAAAATTAGCCTCACATGGGTTTTTGTTTTTACAACTGATCAACTGAGAGCAGAGACAACAACACTATTTTAAAATATAACAAGTAGCAGTAGAGTCAGTAGAATTTATTTTTATATTAGGGCTAGTGATGAGGAAGTGGTTGAAGGTAAGGGTAGGAGCACAAAGTGACAGAAAATGCACAGTGGTATTGATGATATTTATTAGGGATTCCTATGAGCAAAGCAAACAAAGCTGCTGAGGTGGGAGGGACCTGGAGACACTCCCAGAGTGATATTGCCATCTCGTGGTCATTTTGGGTATTGCTATTGGTGGCCAATTCCTAGTCTTCCCAGAACTCACTATAATTGTCTGAAAAACTCCCACAGGTTATGTGAATTCTTTCTGGGTCCAGAGATGTTTCCCTGGACTTTTTCAAGTCTGCTGCCACATTCCTCTTTTCTCTTCCCTCAGTAACTTGTTCTCCATCTCCTCGGTATTTGATTATTTTAGAGTTTTAAAAATCTGCTGAATGTGAATGTAAGTACATTCATGCATGTCATATAGATATGATCTAGAGGAAGTTTTTAACCCACTGGAGCTAAATTTAACTTTTGAGATTAGTAGCTCCAGTCAAGTGCTGTTACGACCCAAATCTTATGAAACTGCATTTAGTTTACTTACTTATTTTGCAGTGCTGGGAATTTGAACCCAGGGCTCCAACTCTGAGTTACACCTTCATGCCAAGACTGAATACAGTTTAAATCAACACTTAGCATGTGCTTGCTTCACACCAGCAACAGAGGGCTGCATAGAGGGGAGGAGTCACTCATCTGAATTCTTGCAGGAGGGGATTCAGGAAGGAGAGTGGGGTAGTTAGACTCAGAGGAGTTGCATTTGAAAATTCTAGGTTTTAACTGATAGTCCATGAGCCACATTAATAATACATAGCCTCAACCCAATGAAAGAATTTATAGACTTCCTAGGAGTATTATTTTCTTTTACAAGCAAATCTTACTTGAGAACCCATTACATAAATTATATTTCATCTAGGTTGCCCTATTTATTCCTCAGAGCTACTTTGTAAGGTCATCATTGTTATCGTTCCATATTTGCATATGATACAATCAAGGCTTAGAAATGTATTTTGACCACAGCTATTAAGTGGCAGAGCCAGGATCTGAATCCAAAGCTTTGGACTCTTAGATGTAGTTCTCTCTCTCTCTCTCTGTCTTTAAAATTAAGTAATTAATTTTTTTGGTGGTGCTGGGGATTGAACCCAGCTACCAACTGAGCTATATCCCCATCCCCTAATTTATTTATTTTAATTAGGTATAGACGGCAGCAGGATGCATTTTGATTCATTGTACACAATTGCGGGACAACTTTACATTTCTGTGGTTGTATACAATATAGCATCACACCATATGTGCAATCACACATGTACCTAGGGTAATGATGTCCATCTGATTCCACCATCTTTCCTGACCCTTTGCTCCCTCCCACTCCTCCCTCCCCTTTGCCCAAATTCCTCCATTTTTCCCATGCTCCCCCCCTCCATGTTATGGATCAGCATCCACTTATCAGAACATTTGGCCTTTGCTTTTTGGGGATTGGTTTACTTCGCTTAGCATGGTATTCTCCAACTCCATCCATTTACCTGCAAATGCTGTAATTTTTTTCTCTTTTAATGCAGGTGTAGTTCTCTTTCCACAAAGGATTTAATTTTATTTTCAAAATGGCAAAGGAGATAAAGTTTTTTGTATAGATGGGCACCACACTGGGGTTATCAGGTTCAAAGCTGCCCTATTAATACAAATAATTAAAATCTACAGAAGCAGCTGGCATCCAGCAGATACTCAGTAAACAGCAGCTAATAATCCAGATAACCTCTTATCTGGATGATATGCCCTGGATGACAGTACTGTTTGTGGCCTTAGTGAGAAGCCACACCCCATATCCTGCACCTTCCTGGGGTGGGGGTTTATGTACATTCAGACTCCTTCTTGATCTGTTCCCATAGTCCAAGTGATCTCAAGGACTTCCTGGCCATCTCCACTGGGACGCTCAATAGACACCACACATTTACTTATACAACCCTGTGCCTTGGCTGCCTTCTCAGTGAGTGGTACACTTTGTATTCAGTTGCTAGGGGAGGTCCCCAACTCCCTCAGGAGTCTATATTCCACTTGCCCAATTCCTCAAACCCATCCTCTATGGCGCCAGAGTGGTCTTTCTAAAGAGGAATCTGACCACATCCCTGTCTCCTCAGTACCACTAGGACTTCTCATTGTTCCCAGCACCAGGGACACCTAATTTGACAGCTTTAATCTGATGGGCATGGTCTGTCCTCCTCTTCCTCCAGTCTTGTTTTCAGTTTTTCCCCTGTCCTCTTACCTGAGTCTTTCAGAATTTTGTTTAGTTCCATGTGATCTTTCACATGGCCTTAGGATCGGCGTTAGATGTTCATTGCTGTGTAACAAATAACCCCAAAATTTCGTGGCTCAAAACAATAGAGGTTTATTCTCTCATAGTCCAGGAGGCCAGAAACCTGAAATGAAGTTGTTTGTGGGGTTCAGCTCTCCTGGAGGCTCTTTGTGAGATGACTCTGTGCCCCTCTCCTAGCTGCTGGTGGTTTGATGACACTCCTTGTTTCTGGCTTTGTAGATATATTGCTCCAGTCTCTGCCTTCTTCATCACATGGCTTATTCCCTGTGTCTCTGTGCCTAAATCTCGTTCTCCTTTGTCTTATAAAG